CACATTAGTCTTCTGCTCAGCAGCATGATAGAAATTTAAATAATTTATTTGTTATTTTTGTTGGTAAAAAAGAAAGAACGCTCTGTGGATTACCACCAAAATCTATTATGTCCTTTTTAAACAGCATACGTGACAAAGGCAGAATCTGAGCACAGAATGATGTCATGATAATGCAACCCTGATGCAGACATGGAGAACAAGATTTTCAGGCTTTGTGCCTGCTGGTAAGGGACCTGAGACTTGACTGGGGCTTAGGCACTGTCAAACATCTTTCCAGCATCCTCCTGGAGAAGTGTACTTATAAGTTCCTCCTGATGGGAGGGAAGGCTCAGTCTGCTGCTGCTTCTTGTCATTCATCCTTGGGCTCAGTAAATAATTGTTTCCTAGAGGCTCCAAAGCTCCAAATATTAAAACTTATGAAAAATTGTTATGTAGGATTCCAGACTTTGGATACTTTAATAGTATAAAACCAAGATGTTCATTTTTTAATGAAAGCAAATAGCCGCACCAGCATTTTGAGGGTTATTTCCGGATTTTGTCCTGTGTGGACTGGGAATCCTTTCCCATTCTCATCTAAACTTATTGTTTCTGCCCAACTTTCTTATTTCAATTGATCAGCTTTTCTCAATATCAATAAAACATTTCAGTGCAAAGTTTTTGAATAGAATTATAGAGTATCTTAAGTTGGAAGGAACACACAGAGATCATCAAGTACAACTCCCTGCTCCTCACATGACTACCTAAAACTAAATCATATGATTAAAAGTGTCATTTCATTAAATAGCTTAGTTAAAGATTTGTGTCTGAGGTCTTCTGGGAATGGCCTGATCCTTTGGCTTGGTGACAAGATAAAGATTTTTCTCTGGTAACGAACAGACAGTGACTTACTAGAATAGAGACTGAAGTAAGTGAGAGAGTTCAGTCCTCAGAATTGCAGCAAACATGAAGTAAAGGATGCAAATCTAGCAGCTACAAGAGCAAATAAGGGGTTTGGCTATCTGACCAAGGAAATTTATTGTAAACAGATGAAAAGGAATGATTTAATTATCTGATGCCTTGGTTCGCTGCTGTTTGGAAAACGCTCAAAGAGCTGAACAGAGTTAAAATAGGATACTCATGTTTTGGAAAGAGACCACAGAAGATTAATAGGGCAGTCACGGAGGGGAAAGGCTTGGAGAGCTTAGCGTGTTTGGCCTCTGAGGTGGCTGAGAAGAATGCTTATGGTGGTACACAAAAGGCATATTGTGATGAGAATAAATTTTGCTCAGAAGATGTTCACTTCATGGAAGGGCAAAATATAAGGTCATAAGTCAACTTATGGAAGCAGAATATCACGTTACAAGAGGGGTGTTTCTACCCAGAGACATGAAACAGCCTGTGCAAACAGGGGTGCTTTTAGCAGTAGCATAAGTTTGTGAAAGGATGGCTGGCCATGGCAAAGCCTCCAGTTCTGTTTATTGAGGTAAAGGAGGCAGGCTACAAACAAGATGGAGTTCAGCTCCTTCTTGATTTCTGTGAGAGGTCTGGTTCAGCCATTTGGCAAGTAGGCTGGCAGCCGAGTCAAAAGGTGGTTTGTGGCCCTTTCACTTGCTCAGAAGTTGTGTGTTCAGCATAGAGGAGCTAAATGCTTCCTTTTCTGTCTCAGCTTCTTCACAAGATGAGTTGCAATCAAATCAGCTGAGTGGTTGCCATATACAAGGAAGCAAAGCAGGATCAGAGGAAAAAGATGGTTAAAAATCTGAACTTCACAGTATGCATAGATAAATTCAATCATTAACAGATCCACTGGGTGGATGGATAATTTTAGGTATGTTTAGGCGTCTCTGTGATCCAAGAAGGATAATCTTAGAGATCACCAAAATGAAAAAAAAAAAAAGTAACAAAACCAACAACAAACCAATCAAACAAACAAAATCACAACAAAGAAACAAAAAGGTCAGGCATTTCCTCCTTTTCATTTTTTTTCCCCTTCTCTTTTTAAACAGTCTTAAAGCAATATGGTAAATTCTTGGCCAAAATCAACACTTCTTCTGTATGCAGTGATAATGCAAGTTTGGTGACTACTGTGCACTCTGCAAATATGGAAAAGAAGTTTAAGCAGGCAAGCTCTGAATGACATCTATCCAATAGCACTGAAGTCCTAATAACTGTTACGGCACAAGCAAGATGAGGCCAATTTCATTACAACCTTTGTGCAGGAAGAAATATAAAGTAAAATGACTAGGTTGTCTTAGGTTGGAATATGAAGCATCTGCAGGCATGGACTCAGCTGGGAATTAGACTGGAACAAATAAAACGTAGCTTACTTTCTTGGGAGATAAACTGCTTTCCCTGTCACTGCTAGTGCTTAGGTACACAGCTATCACAGTCCACATCTACCCCACTAGCATCTTCTATAAAACTGTTAAAAATTACTGGAATTTTTGTCAGAGTAAAAGGGAATGTAACACGAAATGCAGAGAATTATGCAAGTACAATATAAGGGTAGGAAAGA